CGGTGGGGACTAGTTCCGGTGCGAAGCGTGCTAGTTCAAGGAACCGTTTGTGGTATTCCATGACGGTAGCTGTCCCTTATTTCAGATGGAGAAACTCTTTGTACATGGATGCTCTTACGTGTGTTGGGTAAAATCGCTCTCGTAGTCGTGTTTTGAGTTGTTCCCAGTTGAACTCTGGTTCTTGTTGGTGAGTGGGACCCTCGTGGATCCACCAAAGATCGGCCTCGTGTCCGAAGTAGAATGAGGCTATCTCCACGCGGCGTTCTTCTGGGGATTCTACCATCCCGAGAATTTTGTCGAGGGTCCGGATCCATTCTTCTAGGATTACGGGATCCTCTTCCCCTGAGAACGTGGGTGGTCGATGGTTAGAGACTTGTCGAGCGAAGTCTGCGTTTGCGTTGGATAGAGGTAGTGGGGGCCTGTCGTTGCGGAGAGCCACGTTGCTTAGTGTTTGGGCGACTTGTGTTAGTTGTTGTAATGTTTGGGTTAGGGCGTCGTGTGCGGCGGGTTCTGGAGTCCTTGATTGTCTTCTGTTGGGTGCCATGCTGCCGTCTCCCTGATCAATGTTTATAAGAATGTTAAATTGGGATTTTGGTGTCCTTCTTTGACGTGATAAGTGGGGGAAAGTTTTCTTTAGGTAAGGGAGGAGAGGTTATGTGTAGGTTTCACAATCTCACCGCGTGTCCAAAGATTCTTGGGTCCTATGTTCCTAAATATCTAGAGTTCAAGCTTAATGTCTTAAAGTCCGGTCTTAAGAGTCTTATCCTAGGGTCAACTTAGGCTCTGATACCAACTGTAACACCCCAGATTTTCAAGACTTTTAAAACTTATAAAGTAAAGGTGAAATCTCATTAAATCCCAAAGCATAATGCAAGAGTACGGGGTGCTATGCCACACCTAAGCTAGAGAACTCAGGTGCACAGGCTAACTAACTAATATCCTCAATAATGTAAATGCATAAACATGGCACGCAGGCCGAAAGGGAAACTATCTACTTCTATGCTCCAAGTTCTAGCGCACTCCAGTGACTTACTCTTCTGTGCTTGAAAGCCAAATATATCTGTTCAGCGAGAGATGCTGGTAACCCACTCCAACGCGTTGAAATACAATACATATATATATATATATATATATATATATATATATATACATAGATATACGAAAAGTCATTTTAAAGCATGAAGATATATCCTAAGAGACTCTAGCTTTCAAATCAGGGGACCGACTCGACAAATAAGGGTACACACAATCTACAGTCATAACCAGCATATACAATTCTCACATAGGAAACAGTCATAGATAAGCACAACCAATAATCATAATTAAGCGTTTCTAGCAAGAGCCCTATAACAGTCACCACATCAATCCTTCTTATCTCATCATATAGCACACTTTGTTGGCGCCACAGGACCAATCGCATGCCCATACATGAGGGTCAGCGCATATAGCTCTGACACGGCCCCGCAGCACCCTGCCCGTCTCACACTACGGAGGGGTCGATCGCAACCGACCGATGAGCCCCAGCTCTATATAATATTTATATACCTGACCGGTCTTTACCAGCCTGGTTAACAGTTGGGATGGTTCTCCACCCATTCAACTGCCCGTATAGTGGATCTTTGTCCTATATAATATTTATATACTTGACCGGTCTCTACCAGCCTGGTTAACAGTTGGGATGGTTCTCAACCCATTCAACTGCCCGTATAGTGGACCTTAGTCCTATATAATACTTATATACCTGACCGGTCTCTACCAGCCTGGTTAACAGCCGGTATGGTTCTCAGCCCACCCGACTGCCCGTATAGCCCGATTGATCTCAACCAAATAGGGGTAACATGCACACATAACACATAGCAAGCACATGCAACCCACATTAGCACATTGGGAAGGGGGAGAAAACGTATAACAAAACCTATGCGTGATCCTTCACATTTTAAGAGTAGTCCTAAGGGGTTCATACTTCTTTCACCTAGGTCAACGGGATACCAATTCAACTAGCATGCAATATATAAGACTCATACGACCTACGAACGGTACCCGAAAATCAAACTAGACATAGGCACGATAGACGGAGTCCGTTGGGACACCACGGGGGTCGGGGGAACATCAAACGGGGAAGCCGGGGTCCCGAAGTGTGGGAATTTCCAGCGGGTAGCCGGTGGGTGGGCGTTCACCCGCCGGCTGCCCGCCGGTATTTACTGTTCCGGGCAGCGGGTGCCCGGCGGGTAGCTGCCCGCTGCCGGAGCTCCCCTTTTTGGCCCCAGGTAGGTGGCGGGTCCCCTACCCCACCTACCCCCAACTGACTCTTTTCACCAAAAACGCCCCGAGAACCTTTGTGGAACCCGATACCATGCTTAGACACTTTCAAACGCAATTGATAACACACGTAGACAATTAATGGATCAAAATCAAGAAACGAACAACACATAACCTATCATGCTTTTCTAAACATAATAAACACCCAATCATGCGAAATCCCACCCAATATACCAAGAATAATACCATACGAATTCCACGATATAACCTAGGGTTCTAATTATTTTTAAATCAACAAGAACACAAATCATCTTCCAAAATCAAGATTCGGTAGGAATATCATATAACTATCAAGAACCTCATATAATCATTAAGAACACCAAGAACACCATGTAATTATCAAGAATGTCATATAATCATCAAGAACACCATAATTATTAAGAACCTTTCATCATCAAGGTCACCCATGGAAATCATCCCGCCAATCATTAATAATAATATCACAAATCATCAATACACAATAAGATGGGGAAATCCTAAGAGGGGAATCATAACTATGAAAATAGGTTTTGTTGAGACATGGGTTACCTCTTAGCCTTAATTAATTCCTTGGCTATGAAGGGTCTTTCTTTAAGCTTTCTTGCTTTCTTGATATCTTGTAAGGGAATTCTTGGAGTTCTTTGGGTGGTGAGACGTTTTATTGTGGTGGGGGGTTCTAGGTGCCTCTTAAGTCCCCTATTTATATATTTAGGAGCCCTAGTTAGGAACTAATATTATGGGCTTGCTAATTCTATTCCTTTTGGGACTAAGGATTAGGTTTAAGGATAAGGGCCCGTGGACTATGGTGGGCCTTTCCTAATTAATTATTGTGATTTAATTATTTCTTTTGGGTAATTGATTAAATGATTTAATTGATTTTAGGGATCATAACACGGGGTGTTACACAGTATCTTCGGAGCGCGCTTGTTGAACCCGTGGACTTAGCTTAGATAGATCTAGTTTAGCTTCATTGGCCTGTGCGCCTTGATTGTATTTGAATATTAATTATGGATTATGCATTAGATTAGTTTGTGTAGCCTGTGCATCTAGGTTCTCCAACCTGGATGTGGCATAGCACCCTGATACTTATGTTGTTAGCTCCCTCTATGTTGGGTATTAATGATAGATTTGCCTTTATTTCTTAAGATTTAAATGTTTTAAAAATTAGGGGTGTTACAGTTGGTATCAAAGCCTAAGTTCGAACCCTGGATAATGATTTTAGGATGAAACTTTAGGATATTAAGCCTGAACTCTAGGTTTTTAAGTACTTGGGACTTAAGAATCTTAGGACGCGCGGTGAGATTATGAGTTTATTTATCGGTTTCTGCTAAGTTTTCCCTTTGACTTGCACTTACGTAGTTATCTGGTATTTGATAAAGTATTTTGGAACTTGCAAATTAATGATTTTATTTGGCGAGTATTTGCTCACTTTTCTTGATTATAATTATTACATTATTATGATAGTTGAATTTTTTTATAGCTTGATTATTTGCTTGAGCATGAAAGTTAGATTATTTTCCTAGTTGATTTGTTTACAGATCGGCTAAGGACTTGCATATTGTTGCCTAATTATTTGACCAATGTGCGTCATTTGGATATGTGTTAGTTGATAAAATATTTTGGAACTTGCAACTGGTAATTTTATTTGACCTATAATTGCTCACTTTCTTTAATTGTGATTGTTAGATTATTCTAGTTGATCTGCTTATAGAATACTTTCATGAGTTTGCATGAAAGTTACGGGAACATAACTTTATTTCTTAGTGGGGGGGGGGGGGGGGGAATGTGATATGTGATCTTTATGGTGTCTTGAACTTTCGTTTGAGTCTCTTAAATTCCTTATTGGTCAAGTTACCCTTGTTCCTTGTTGCTTTATGGTTATGCTTCGGGGACGAAGCATCTTTTGAAGGGGAGAAGGGTGTGATGGTGACAACCCAAAATTTAATTTTATAAATTCCATTTTAAGAAATTCCAAAATAGCCATTTTTAACTCTTCCACAATTCTTTGTGATGAAAACAGTGTATAAATTCAACACCTGGACTCATTCTATTTCTAAAAATCCTAAATTCTCGGGTAAATTGCGTACCAGGTTTTGACCCAAAAGTCAATCTGAGTGAAACCGGGAGAAATCTGAGAAACCTAAACCAAGTCCTCATCTAGAAATTATTTTTGAAAAAATATATTTTGACCACCAAACTAGTTAAAATTATCCTTCTAGACTTTAGTCCATGTTGCATGGTGGATCACAAGCTTCAAATGCCTTTGAAGAATCAAACACACACACACACACACACACATACACACACACACATGTGTGTGTATGTGTGTGTATGTTTGTGTATATATATATATATATATATATATATATATATATATATATATATATATATATATATATGAAGTAAAATTTTAAATCTCTCTCCCTGGTATCTAGGGTTTTTTCATCGTTTTTGCATGGTTCTAATCACACACAATCGACAATTCTTCTCGCCTAGTACAATCTGATCACTGATTCTTTGTTACGATTGTCGCTGGATTGGTGCAAGGAAGTCGTTTTATTGGTTCAAGGAAGTTGTTATTGATTTTCAACTTTACTGCTTCTTTGATTGTTCGGTAAAGGGCTTAACGAACGGCGGTTTGGGGATCACTGCTACGCCGAACTATTTCCTTCATCATAACAGTACTGCTTCAGGCGACAGTTATGGACGTACAGGGGATTGTTCAGGGTTGTGCGGAGATCACTTTGGAGGAGGAGGAAGCGAGGGTCCGATTCGGGGAGGAGGATGGATCGGAGATCGCGGAGGGAATGGCGGTACAGTACTGGCAGATGGTTGGACGATTTCTAACTGATAGAACGATTAAGTTCGATGTGATGAGGCAGGTAATGGCGTCTGTTTGGAGGCCGTTAATGGGGATACAAGTCGCTGAGATTCAACCGAATCTATATTTATTCACGTTTTATCACGATACTGATCTTGCGTATGTGTTGGACAATGGCCCTTGGGCGTTTGAGAATGCTACTTTGATCTGTCAACCGCTTCGTTCAGGTGAACATCCTACCCAAGTGTTGCTCAATACGATTAATTTTTGGGTACAGGCGCACGACTTGCCAGTCGGGTATCGTACGGAAAAGGTTTTGGAGAAAGTAGGGGACTTTCTTGGACTGTTTGTGGAGTTGGATGAGAGGAATTTTGTTAGACCTTGGACGAAATTCTATAGGGTCAAGGTTACGGTGGAGGTTTCGGCTCCGCTGAAGAGACGTATGAAGATGATTTTGTGAGACAATTCTTGGACATGGGTAAATTTTCGTTATGAACGTTTACATATGTTTTGCTTCTTCTGTGGGAAGTTAGGGCATACGGATAATTTTTGCTTAGAGGCCTGTGTGTCTGGTTTGAAACCGGCTCAGTATCCGTTTGGACCAAGCTTGAAGGCTAGGGGTAATGCCCCAGCAAAAGCAGTGGGGGAGAGTTGGTTACAGAAAGGGGAGATGATGCACCGTGGTTTGGGCTTTGGTAATATGGCGGATGCAGCAATCCGAGGGGCGGGAATGCAGCAGGGGCGGGGGGGGGGGGGGGGGGGGGGCAGATGTTTGCCTTTCTCGGGTGGTGTGAGGCCGGGGCTGGGGGGGTGTTGGGGTCGTTCGGGCAGGGGAGGAAGAGGGTGTTCGGATTGATCCGAAACGGAAGAGGGGGGAGAATGGAGAGGTGGCGGGAAGTGTGGGGTCAGGTGAGGGGGTTATGGTGGTAGATTCAGCTTTTCTGGCGGGGCCTGTGGATCAGGTCCGCCCTTCTCAATGAGTATTCTAAGTTGGAACTGTCGTGGCTTGGCCAATCCAAAGACAGGTCGAGAGATTATGGACCTGGTGTCCAAGAAGAAGCCTGAATTTGTGCATCTCATGGAAACGATGGTAGATAGAAGTCATGTTGAGAGGCTCCGTGTAAAACTTGGATTTGAGGGTGGTTTTGGTGTGGATAGTATGAGACGGAAGGGTGGCATGGGTTTTCTCTGGGCGAAGAATAATAGTGCTCGTTTGATGAAGTATTCTCATAATCATATCGATCTGGTGGTGTCTCTTCCAAACAGGCATCACTGGCGATTGACTTGCTATTATGGTTTTGCTCAGAGTTCAAGAAGAAGGGAGGCTTGGGATTTCTTAAAGTTACTCAAGGACGAATCTGGTCTACCTTGGGTGGTTTTGGGGGATTTCGATGACTTGTTGACACAAGCAGAGAAGAGGGGGAGACGCCTGCATCCCGAACGGTGGCTGGAGGGATTCGGGGATGCTTTGGAGGACTGTGGTTTGTCTACTTTACCCATGTTGGGTTATCCTTATACTTGGGAATGGGGTAAGGGGACACCGGATTGGGTGGAGGAAAGACTGGATAGGGCGGTGGCGGATGCAGCCTGGAGGGGTTTACATGTTAATGCCCGATTATATATATTCAAACTGTGGGGTCGGATCATTCGGCACTCTTTCTGGATGTATATGGTTCGGGCTCGCTAAGGCGGGCGCGTGGTTTCCGTTTTGAGAATGCGTGGTTAAGAGATGAAGGGTGTAGGGATGTGGTGGTGGAGGAGTGGTCTAATACACAAGGGCTTGATTTCCAGGAAAGGTTGAGGTTGTGCGGCCGGGGGCTCAAGAAGTGGGGGGGAGAACATTTTCATAAATATGGGTCCAGGATTGAGGCGATTAAAAGGGAGATGAATAGCTTAAGCGGCCAGATGGATCTGATTTCCTTGGGGCGTTTCAGGCAGCTTGATGGACAACTGAGTACTGTCTTGCTGCAGGAGGAGTCATTTTGGAAACAAAGGGCGAAGCAGCATTGGCTGCAAGGAGCGGATCGGAACACAAAGTTCTATAACCAGTATGCTACGCACCATAAACGTAAGAACTCCATTTTGAGGCTTAATGATGGGAATGGAGAATGGAAGGAGGGTGATGGGCTTGTCTCTCTGGTGACAGGCTATTATAAGCAGATTTTCCAGACCAATGGAGATATGGTTACTTTCTAGGTAGATACTTTAACCCCCCGTGTCTCTCGTGCTCAGAATGATGATCTATTACGGCCCTTCGAGCCTGCGGAGGTTAAGGATGCTCTATTTGCCATGGGTAAAGATAAATCGCCAGGACCGGATGGAATGAATCCGGGGTTCTATCAGGCTTTCTGGGATCTCATTGGTAAGGACTTTACTAATTTTGTTCTTGCTTGTTTATCTCAATCTTCCTTTCCCCCTGAATTGAATGATGCCAATATGGTTCTAATCCCGAAAAAGGCTGCCCCTGAGTTGGTTACTGATCTGAGGCCTATTGCTTTATGCAATGTAGTGTATAAGGTAATGGCTAAGATGATAGCTAATCGTATGAAACCGCTGTTGGATGGTATTGTCTCAGAATCGCAGAGTGCCTTTCTTCCAGGTAGGCTTATTTCGGATAACATTCTTATTGCATCTGAAGTAGGTCACTATCTGAGAAGGAAACAGTTGGGCCAGGTGGGATGGGCAGCCCTAAAGTTAGATATGGCCAAAGCTTATGACCGAATGGAATGGAGGTTTGTGAAGCGTATGTTGTTGGGCCTTGGTTTTGATGCAAGGTGGGTTGATTTAATTATGTTATGTGTGCGGACAGTCAGGTACAGGGTCCTAGTCAATGGGAGGCCAAGTGAGGAGATTTTTCCCACAATGGGTCTAAGGCAGGGTGATCCCTTATCACCGTATCTTTTTATCATTTGTGCAGAGGGCTTGTCTTTATTATTGCAGGATGCCCAGACTAAAGGACGGATCCATGGCTGTAGGGTGGCTCGTGGGGCCCCGCCCATCTCTCATCTCTTCTTTGCTGACGGTAGCCTACTATTCTTTAAGGCTAACATGCAGGAGACTACGGAGGTGAAACGTTGTTTGGAAGTATATGAGCAATTCTCCGGGCAATCTGTCAATTATCATAAGTCTAACATCTGTTTTAATCGTAATACTGCTTTGTTAGACAGGGATGCCATTGCCATGGGACTGGGGGTGGAGCAGGCGGAGGATTTTGGCAAATATTTGGGACTCCCCTCAGTTGTTTATAGGAACAGAAAAGTTGTTTTTTCCTATGTGGAACAGAAACTGAGGCAAAGATTTGGCTCGTGGAATAATAGGCTGCTTTCTATGGCAGGTAAAGAGGTACTACTTAAGAGCGTGGCACAAGCAATGCCTACGTATACTATGAGTATTTTTTTGTTGCCTGTATCTTTATGTGCTTCTCTGGAAAGATTGATGAACAGGTACTGGTGGGGGAAGAGTACCACTGTAGATGGGATACACTGGATGGCCTGGGATAGAATGTGCGTTCCTAAAAAGTATGGTGGTATGGGCTTTAAGAGGCTGCATGAATTTAATTTGGCACTATTAGGGAAGCAGGGTTGGCGGCTCTTAACCAAAACGGATTCCTTAATGCCCGAATTTTTAAGGCAAGATATTATAGAGATACTACCTTTTATGAGGCATCCTTGGGTGGTAATCCGAGTTATGTATGGAGGAGCATTATGGCGAGTCAGAGCCTGATCCGTAGTGGCTGCAGGCGTAGAATTGGAGATGGTAGAACTTCCAGGCTATGGTCTCACCCGTGGCTGCCTGACCCTCAGAATCCTTTTGTGTTAACTGATCATGTTGCCCAACATACGGAGCTTTTGGTATCTGACTTATTAGATCATGATCAAGGAAAATGGAACCACGAGCTAGTTACCCAATTGTTTGATCCCAGGGATGTTGAATTAATATTCCAAATCCCTGTGAGTGTCAATTTCAAAGATGACTGGTTTTGGAAGGGGGATATTAGAGGACAATATACGGTAAAAGATGGCTATAGATGCCAAGGGGAGTTGAGCATCACCCCGGACGCAGTTTGGAACAACATTTGGAAGCTTAGGGTCCCTCCCAAGTGGAGGATTTTTCTATGGAAGGCCCTATCTAATATTTTGCCAACTATTACCAACTTGGTTAGGAAGAGAGTAGAAATTCCTAATATTTGCCCAGCTTGTGGAGATTATGAGGAGGATATTATGCATATTTTATGCACTTGTATTTATGCTAGACGTGTGTGGAATGTTTCACGTCTTCTAATCCCTAATGTTGATGGCTATGATTTTGTGCAGGAAGTTCAGCAACATCTGCTGGGTTTCTAAAAGAGCAAATTTGCGGAATACTCTACGAAATTTGGAAAGCCCGGAATATGGCTGTTTGGGATTCTTTTCTACCAACCCCCTCGCATTTATGTCTTGCCTATCACAATGCTTGGAATGCCTGGACTACAGCAAATGTTTTCGACAAAGCACCCACACCGTCTGCTCCCTTGCAGCCGCATGCTAATCCAAGCCAAACTGCTCCCATGACCCAGCAGCGGCATTGTCTACTGCCTTACTGCCGGCAGAATCTGTAGTGGCGCCAGTCCAGTCCGAATGCGTGGCCTGTTACACTGATGCCGGCTTTGACGGCGCAACACCAACCTACGGTTTTTTTGTACGCAGCGCACAAGGTGACTTCGTCGCAGCGGCTAATGGACCACTCATATGTCCGTACGATCCACTACTAGCTGAAGCAATGGCGATACGAGAGGCCCTATCATGGTTACAAGATCACGACTTTCATAATGTTGCGGTGTTCACGAATTGTGCGGTCCTGGTTTCTTGCTTCCGCGATACGTCTATCTACCGTTCGTATCTAGGTGTTATTTTAGACTCATGTTTACAGTTGTTTCGTTCTTTTCATTATTGCTCAATTAATTTTGTACGCAGGGATGCCAATTTGGTAGCTCATGCCTTAGCAAAACATGTTAGTGCGGCTAACGCTCGTTCGGTCTGGAGGGATTATCCTCCACCCTTTGTCTCGTCTACAGTTTAATGCAATATGATTTCCTTGGCTTTCAAAAATGTGTGTGTGTATATATATATATATATATATATATATATATATATATATATATATATATATATATATATATATATATATATATATGTATATATATATATATATATATGTATATATATATATATATATATATATATATATATATATATATATATATATGTATATATATATATATATATATATAGACACACACACACACACACACACACACACACACACATATATATATATATATATATATATATATATATATATATATATATATATATATATATATATATATATATATATATATATATATGTGTGTGTGTGTGTGTGTGTGTGTGTGTGTGTGTGTATATAACCGACTGCATTCCAAGAAGGAAGGAAGCGTGCTAAGAGCTTTCGCTACTAGAAGCATCACCAAACGGGCGCAACAAGCCAAATTTCAGGAAGGACATGAAGTCGTGCTAAGAATTTCATCTACCAAGGAAGAGATGAAATTCAATAAAACGAGGAAACCAACTCGAAGCTCCTTGATCCTTAAGGAATCTCTGCAAGAATTGGGAGTTAAGGCCTAAGGATTGTCTTTGCTAACCGACTAGGTCAAGACTTTTGAGCATTTTGGGAAAGTATGCACGGAATTCATCACGGGAATTCCCTCAAAATCGATAAAGATGGATAAGACTTTAGCTTGGGAAGGAAAGATCAACAGAAATCTTAGAGACAGGCGGTGCCAAGACTAAAGAAAAAGGACCATCAGTTCGTCATTACGTCATAATCGATGCTTTAAACAGGAATAATCGCTTGAAGTCGAGAATCCTTAACCCTATTCTATCCAATACCCTTCCTTTCCTTGTCTATCAAATACCGTTTCGTTGAGGAACTCATTTTACCCTTTCAAACCTCATTCTTGATCCCTCATTTTAAATGATTCCATACAAGGTGGCAACCTTATTTCCTAAATTACAACTTTGAAAACTTTGATCCTACTCCTAATTAACCTTGTTCTATGAAGAAGGACTCGTAAGAATCCTAGACATGAAAACAAAAGAACTCGCAGGAAGACCGTTAATATGGTTAAGGTCCTTTGGTCCAAACATGAGACCAAAGAAGCAACTTGGTGGCTGGAAAGTACAATGAGTGATCGCTACCCCAACCTGTTCACTCATGGTACCTTAGTTTAAACCTTAGACTATGTGGTTTAGAATAAGTCTCGTTACGTTTAAGTTTCGGGGATGAAGCTTCTTGTAAGGGGGGGGAGGGGGGGGAAGGGTGTAACACCTCGTGTTATGATCTTCAAGCCCGGATTAATTATGTAATTAATCCCGCTAAGAATAGTTAAAAAGGATTTAATTTAGTTAGAATCCTCATAATTAATTAATGTGGTCCACAATGGACCGTGGACCCTTGTCTATATTAAAGACCTTAAACCTGCTACGAATAAAGAGAGTAGACCTTCTACTATTCAGATTCTAATTAGGAATCCTAGACCTATATATCTGTTAGGAATAAAGAAAGTAGGCCTTTACTATTCAGATTCTAATTAAGGATCCCTAACTCTATAAATAGGGGATTAGAAAGCAATTAGAACCCTTACCACCCATAGTTATATGACATGAAATTATTCCCAAGAGACCGGGCTAAGAGATTCCCCACCACCAAGCATAGCGAGATCAATCGGAGGGAAATCTTAGAGAAGAACCTTAATAGCAAAGGGAGGATTAATTAAGGCTAAGAGGTAACCCATGTCTTACAAAACCTATTTTCCTTGTTATATCTTGATTATTGGCTCCTTTGATGTGTGATTATGTGATTGAGTCTTGATAGAGCTTCGCCTAGGGTTTATGCTGTGTTTATTTGATAATCTTGATGTTGTGATTGATTGTATGTGTGATCTTTTATTTAATTATGTCTAGAGCTTGTCCCTAGAGTTTATATCGTGAATCTCGTGTTATGATATTCTTGGTGTTATTGGGTGGGTTTATGCATGCTCGGGTGTTGAGTTGTCTTTAGGGCTTTGCATATAGATTTCTTGATGTTCTTGAGGTTCCGGATGCTCCTGAACCGTTATGTGATTGATGGCGAGTCATTTGACAAATATCTCCTCTTTTGAGCTACTAGCTTAAGGCCGGGATCGGCTGCCAAACGATGCGTTATGATGGCCCAGTCAACACCTGGCATGTTCTCGGACCTCTAGGCAAATATCTCCGTATAGCTCCTCAACACCTCAATGATTGTGTTCTTCATCGGTTCGGGTAAGCCAGCCCCAACCTGGATTGTCCTCTTTGGGTGGTTGGGGTCCAGGATGACCTCCTCCAGCTCGACCGCGGGGGCTGAGCGCCCTACCAGCTGCTTGACCACTTACTGGGCGATGGCGTTTACCCGATCGAAGCCCTGTCCCATCTTTCGACAGGCTTGCGAATAGCAACTGCAAGCCATTTTTTATCGCATCGTACCACTCCTACGCCGTTCGGCGTGCGAAACTTCATGCATAGGTGCTCCATCAGGGTGCCTATGTCCTCTGGGCCTGGTCGATCGACTATAACGTTATGCGCGCAATCCAGAACAACCACTACGAATTCCATATCCAGCTTTTGAACATGGGGCCAGGTACCCATTTATATCATCAGCGAAGTGCAACCCTCGGCTTTAATAGCGTCGCCGGTGAACCCAGCCAGGAGGTCCTGATCGGTCGCAATTGCTCCCGGGGCAGCCCTAGTTTGTAGTAGGCTTCCAGATACAGCAATTGACACTTCTGCCCGTATCGACTAGCACTCGGCGAATGACCGACCCCCAGATATCCATGGAAATTACGAAGGTGTCCCGATGGGGAGTGGGCCCCTCGATAAGTCGTCATCCGTGAAAACGATTGGCTCCCTACACGTTTTCTTCCGGTCTGATTCCATGAAAGCTATCGCTCCCACATATAACTGTCTAACCCGATTTTTTGGGCTCTCACTGAGTCACCACATTCATGACCGCCCACAATCATATTGATTACCGGCTTCTGCTCCCAATTCTTGTCGGTGTTCTCCTCCTGCATGGGCTGTTTACCCTTGTCCACAGCCGTCGAGGTAACTCGGGCTAGTGCCTCTTTTTGCCGAGGCAAGCCCGATCGACGCCATTGGTTGGGAGGTAATGGCCAACCGCGCTTTATGAGCACCTCGATTTCTTCCTTAAGGCCCTCGCATTCCTCCGTGGTGTGAGTATTTATACGGTGGTACCTGTAGCAAGGGTTGGCGTTCATGCTAACCACCTACGGTTTATCGCCCGGTCGGATTGGAGGAGGTGGGGGTAGCTGGGTGTGAACTTCGAGGACGGGCTGACCCGTTGGCTGATAGGCGGGAACTCTCAGCCGGTCTTGAACCCGACGAGCTCTCACACGAACACCCCCGGCATCCTCCGTCTGGTCATTGCGGGGATTATCCACACGGAGGCGCTTGTTGGATGGCACCTCCTGATTGCGCTTTTGCTTGACCGCTTTCTTCGTGTCGGCCAATTGGTTGGCTCTCTGGATAGCTTCAACGTATGTCTTGGGATTCTCATCCCGTAGCTTACTGTAATACACGTTCGCCCTCAAGGACTCAATGAAGAACGTTAGGGTTGTCTGGTCATCAAGACCTTCGACCGCCTGAGCCTCCTTTTGCCAACGCGCTATGTACTTGTGCAGAGCTTCTCCTTCATCTTGATGTACCCGAGATAAATTCGAGACAAACTTCTTAGGCTTCATACTCCCGGCAAAGTGCGTGAAGATCTTACGGGCCAATTCTTCGAAGCTGTTGATCGATCCGGTAGGCAGCCTGTGATACCCCGAAAATTTTAAATTATTTAAGTAGGAAAAAGGTTTAATCTTCATATTTAAGAAAAAAAAGGTTTAATCTTCATATTTAAGAAAAATAAAATTGGTTATGATGAGTTTTGAACCCTACACCTTTCTTTTGCAATAGCAAGATCCTTACGATCAAACCATTACAACTTTCATGTCATTATCCACATTTGATGATATATTAGTGAAACTATTTTATGGTATGTTCCGTAGATTATGTATGTAACATATATATGTAATTTGGATGAAGTATATGCTAAACATTAAATAAGATTTTGTTATACATATAAGATTAGGAATGTGGTCGTGATTTGTGTCCAAGTTCATTTAGCATGTGGATAAATCTTGGTCAACTAATTAGCACTCATCACTCCCTAACCTACCTTAATTCTTGTTAATAATTTCTCCATCACCTTTATTTTTCATTATTAAAAATTATCATTTCCTTTT